TCAGATGATGCAGGAACGGGTTCTTCCTGGAGGAACCTGGTCAGCTCCACATCAGCCTGCACTCTTTTTGGAACCGATGCCTGAGTCTGGTGACTTGCAAGTAGGTTTCTTCTGTGCTGGAGAAGGTCACACAGCCTCTTCTTCTTGCTTGCTGGAGGTCCAGATTCAGATTCTTCATTTCCCCCTGCAGCTTCAACGCACTTCTCACCACTGGCACATTCTCCTTTTCCTTCTTCCTCGTTCATGTCTAGTAGTTCTTGCAATAGCTTTTCTTTTACATCATCCAAGACCTCCGCATCCTCCATGGTACCACGATACCTTGGATCCAAGACGGTGGCCTTTGTCAGAAGGTTTTGGATTTCAGGTGGGCTGTATTTCTCTTTCAACACCCTGCACATGTTTGCCTTTATGTTTGCTGTCAGTCCAGTGTCATTGGGGTCTGGTGATAAAAGTTCACCTTTAAGAAGTTCCAACACAGGCTTTACTGAGGACACAGTGACATATTTTTCCCCTGAGAGGACATCCGTGAAATCAGCCACTGGCTTCATTGCTGCATTAATGGATTCCAATACGGAAACATCCTGCCAGGTTGGGTTGAGGTGGCCATGTTTTCGATCTTCAACCAGGACACGTCGTATGGCTGGGAGTTGCTCTAGCACCCTCTCGATCATTTTGTGCTTGGTACCCCATCGTGTGGCGACATCCTGTGGAAAATATAAGATTGTTTTTGTTTTTTTTTGTCTAACATTATTTAACAAATGCTACTTTTACTACACTGTAAAAAAATTGTAATCACAAATTTTTTTCTTTTGTCAAATCAATTTAGATAATTTATGTGGTTCAGATAACATAATAGTTAGAGTTTCTGATGGTTAAATCAATCTGCTTCATTGTATTAACTAAATTTTTCATATTCAATTAACTTACAATTTTAAGGCAACCAGGTTACTTATTTAATTAAGTTAAACCAACAATATTTTTATAGTGTAGTAGTACTTTCACAAATAATAATATGGTTATTATAATGTAACCAAATATTTAATACATACAAACAGGCCCCAAAGTAAGTAATAAATAATAAAAACCCTTTAAATTAAGTTTATATAAACCCTAAATAGTTTGTGTTGTATAACAAGTTACTGGTATCATCACTCACCAGTACTAGATTGTGTTGGGGGACATTGGTTTCAGTCTGTGCCTTCCTCAGGTCTCTCTTCTTTAGCCAGCTCAGGTTGAATGTGTTGACAAGATTCCTACAAAGTCCCATGGCACGTGCTGTGCGATCCTTGTCACTGTCCAGTCCATGGGAAACAGCCAAATGGAGGTTGTGTCCAAAGCAATTGAGCCATGGCCAGCCAAGATTACGTATTGCAGCCACAATGTTAGCACCGTTGTCTGTAGTTATACAGGCCATTTTGCGCTCATCCAATTCCCAGTCTGCTAAAGCAAACTGAAGGGCTTCAGCAAGCACATCCGCAGTGTGGTTCTGGGGTATGTATCTGGTCTCTAAACACTTTGACTGCAGAGTCCAGTCATCAGTTATGTAGTGTATGGTCAAGCTCATATAAGGTGTCATATTTGAGCTTGACCACATATCTGTAGTGGCAGAGTAAAAGGAGATGTTTTTTATCTCTATGTTCTTTATCTTTTACTTGTTCTTTATCTTTTACTTTATTGTACAAGGATGGAATGGCAGTTTGGGAGATGTACGTTTTCTTTGGCAATTCGTACTGTTTGTCAAAAGTTTGCAGCATATTTTTAAATGCTGGTTTTTTGACCGTGTATAATGGCTGCATCTCTTTGGCTATATAGCGAGTTACGCTATCCGTGAGTGTGCGCCATTTCGCGCTGTCACGTTTATATTTGCACTGTCGGGAAAAGGCATCTGCAACAGATAACTGTCTGGAAGAAGGCCCCTCTCCAACTCCAGCTGCAGTTGTTGTTCCCAGGTTGAAAAACTGTGTGGGATGGTTATGTTTTAGGTGCGATTTTAAGTTTGTTGTGTTGCCTCTTTTCGTTGCTACTGTTTTAAAACACAGTCGACATACCGGCTCGTTCACGTTAATTAGCTCTCCTCTCTCGTTCGGCTTAAAGCCAAAATGTTCCCACACCGGAGCTGAAGATTGCGGCTTTGAATTCAATTCCATGTTGGACTCGTTCTTCCTAACTGGCTCGCTGTATATGTCACGAAACAGAACACTTTAAAATGCAGTTGGTTCACGCCTTCTCTTCACCTGACGGTGTCCGCTCTCTCTCTGTGTGTGTGTGTGTGTGGACACGCTGCCTGCGCCCCGCCTCCGACACAGAGTGCAGACAAGATGACAGAGGCAGCGCGATCAACTAAAATGTTGGTGACATTCATTTTAATGTAAAAATTAATCTGATTATTATTTTTAATAATAAAACAAATTTCAGTTGCAATATATCGCGGCACCAAAAATGATCGCGCTCATTTCCATATATCGTGCGATAAGTCGATATATTGACTATCGCGACAGCTCTACTTCCTGCCACTTTCCGCTGTACCGCGGGGATCGCCTGAGCTCATGCTCAAGCTCTGAGAAACATGCCTATTTGCTGCCAGCGTTCTCCTTAAATACCCACGAGGTGAGGCGGAGTTACGCTATGCAAATTCTGCAGACCCATGGCATTTCTTTGCCATTGGCTCGTTTTGTAGTACTCGAAGTCGATTGGCTTTCTAAGCGAAACCCCCATTCGTCGTCATCCGACGGAACGTCTCCGTTCCCTACTCAGGGAACGAGGGTTACATCCGTAACCGAGACGTTTCATGGAGCGGAAGATATGATGACTAGATGCCTATAAGTATTGTAATGGTGCAAAAAGTCAAACTTTAGAGGCATGTTATCAATAACCTTTATTGGAATATAAATTTATATAAGCTTAGCTGCAGGAATCTGTGAGGGCAACGGACAACACAACTGGTGTACCCAGGGCAGGCTTAGTAAAAAATATCCTTGTATGATTGTCTACATACACTAAATATTAGTGCTGTCAAAATTAATGATTAATCCAAGTGATTAATCAAAAAATCAAAATAACCCTGATTGATACCTTCCTGATATGTACTATGCTCAATTATATAGCATTCTCTCAAGTTTTGAAGTTTTTTCTTTGGTTGTTGCGTTAAATCTTACCCAGATACAATAGTGCTATTTTCTGATTGACTATTGTGTAGCCTCTTTCTTTCTTTTTGATTGGCTGATAAGTGGCTGGCTCGACTAAGAACTCCAGGGGAGACGCGCTTGATTCCTGCCGCTTCCATAGTGAGAGCGGTGCGGCCAGAGACATTTTGGGCGCTGCGGCATATTAAATATATTATAAACTATTTTTCCATGTGAGAAATACAAAAGACCAAAATGAGTGACTTTCACGCTCAATGCGTGACCCTTGAGAGCCCTGCTAATGGCAATGATGTTGCAGAGGTGCGATGGACCGCGTAAAAACCAATAGGGTGTCGGAATGGTATATGTTTATACTTCTCATCCAACCATAATCAAATGCACTCTTATCCGGATGGCGCGATTTATCTAGATAAAACAAGCCAAAATGAAATAGGAGTAACAAGGCTATTTTTAAAATGTAAGGAGTAGAAAGTACAGAGACTTGCGTGAAAATGTAAGGAGTAGAAGTAAAAAGTCGGCTGAAAAATAATTACTCCAGTAAAGTATAGATACCCAAAATTTCTACTTAAGTAAGGTAACAAAGTATTTGTACTTTGTTACTTGACACCTCGGCTCTGTGGAAATAAAGACTGAACATTATCTAAATTTCTACTGTGTCCTCAACATCATAGGAAATGCATTTTGTTGCCTAGGAAGTAAATATTTTCCAGATTTAGCCTTTAGCTTAATTCTAGCATCAGTCTGTTGTTCCTGTGTGAGCAGAGGTGTCAAAAGTATTCACATTCATTACTCAAGTAAAAGTATAGATACTAGGGTTAAAAAGATTTCTGTAGAAGTTGAAGTATCAACTCAAGCTTTTTACTCAAGTAAAAGTGTAAAAGTACTGGTTTCAAAACTACTTATAAAAGTAATAAGTAAGTATAAAAGTATTAAGTAAAAGTAATGTAAGGAAAAAAATGCCATTAAGGACAAAAGCTTAGGCCGCGCCACAGGGGCCTATAGATGTTATTCGATCTGTGTCATCAATGTTTGCGGCGGCCATATTGCTGACAAAGAAACCACGGCAACTGTCAGTCTGTCAATTGACAAGCGAGGCAGCGTCGGTATTATCCATGGTATTATCACTGTATTTTTTTTTTTAAACAGCGTGATGGTGTGTTGTGTAATACACGGCTGTTCTAATAACAGCAATAAGAACCCCGGAGTTAGTTTTTATGATTTCGATAAGTTACCGACTGTCAGAAAACGTGAAGGGAAGGAGACAGAGTTGAGCCAGCGCAGGAGAGGCTAGCTAAGATAAATAGGCTAAACTTTCAGCCAACTCCCCATAGAAAAGTCTGTTCCCATCATTTTACCACAGGTTTCACACATAATCCGTGTGCGGTGCGTATACAGTACAGAAGCAGGACGCGCAATACTTTATATGCTGCGTTTGCAGTGCGTAACTGATCCGCGGCTGTACCACAAACACCCCGGTACTCACTATTTTTATTTTAACACATACTCACTATTTCAACAACGTAAGCCAATTATTCCATGCATTACTTCTATATATTAAGTTGCTCAAGCAAGTGGTCAAATATGTAACCATGTACTTATATTAAAATCGAAACATTTTTAATGAAAACTTAAAATTGACAAAAACAACCGACTCTCATGCATTTTCTTTTGCATTTACATTTTAATACAACAAATCTTGCATGTCACAAAGAACTTGTTTTTCCACCTCCACGAATGAGACGAGATGCCTATAAGTATTGTAATGGTGCAAAAAGTCAAACTTTAGAGGCATGTTATCAATAACCTTTATTGTAATATAAATGTTCATAAGTTTAGCTGCAGGAATCTGTGAGGGCAATGGACAAGAAAATCGGTGTACCTGTTACGGGTTTCAAATGCCGTAACTGCCGTAACAAATGATTTTGTTTGTGGTTCAAATGTGGCCAGTGACACTCACTACAACAGGCAATGAAACAAATCCACACTCCAGTGTGTTGAACACCACATCCCAAAGGCGGGTGGGCCAGATAGCCTTTCACAAATGTTTCAGAGAGAACCCACAGCACTTAAATTACAGGTTCCCTAAAAGAATACTCACAACACACAGCATATTTATACAGAAGACAAAAGCAGCAATACATTTACAATTAAGACAAAACAGCAGCGTAGTCTGGGTCCATGCGTCCTGCTGATTACACAGCTCCGAGCTGGAAGCATGACTTTAGACACGACCCCCAACCTACACACACACACACACACACACACACACACACACACACACTTACAGCAGTGAGGTTTAAGCACTTTTCAAAGCATAAGAGAATCCCTAGAAAGAGATCATACTCACTGCGTCAGAAGTTCAGAACAACATATATAAAACCACTGCGTGCTGCAACATGCTCTCACTGCAACAACTGTAGAACAGGCTTTAGGTTACACACCAATATTACACAGAAAAATAAATCACATGCCACTTTACACTCATCCATATACCAGATATTGGAGAAATAAGTAACCCAAACTACATGACTCCATCCGGGAAAGGCATCAAATTTAGAAGAATAGCGGACGAGCAGTGATGAAAAATGCTGGCGCAGCGTTGAGAGCTGAACACATGATACACACCGTTAAGGAGGTATTAGTTTTATCATTTTATTAAACTTTTTTTAGGATTATGTTTTAATGATTTTCTTTTTAGTGTTTTGGCCGGATTATTGCCTGACTGATTGTTGCCTGTGTGTCAGTCAAAATAACGGATGTTAGAGATATTGTTTTATTTAAAGGAAACTTTTTAAGGTTGTTTTATTTTATTGATGTGTTTTTCGATATATTGTAAATAATTCTTTGTTGTAATGAACTGTTCCCTTTCGAGGGAACTTCCGCTGCGTCGAAAATCGACACTATGGGGAACGCCTTCAGCGTGACGCGTCTGAAGCCTGTATGGAACTAGTCCAATCTTGATTGGTGCTGCGTGATGACGTCACTCGTGACGCCGCATGTGACGGTGAACCGGAACTATAAAAGGACACCGGCAACATAATGGCGCCAGCTTTCAATTGGTCGAAGCAAGTCGTTCTCAGGAGCGCGAAGGAGTGGCCGAGGGACGCAGCGTTTCGTTCGGGGTTACAGTCGTAACCCGAGACGTTCCCTTTCGAGCTCCACTACCGGCTTGCGCCTGATAATTTACCCCTTGTGGGTCCTAATGTCACATATATATCAGTGGTGGGCGGTCAGGGCCAGCAAGGCCTTCTCTGCTGGCCTAGACACTATCAGAATCACAGACTTGCACTTTAATATATTTTTTGAATGAGTATTAAATTATTCCCAATAGTCCATTATCTTAATTTCATAGCTTTTCTCTTAGTTGCGCTGCTTTCAGTAGTGTATGTTTATTTTAGCGCTTTTATCCAGTCATATTTCCACCATCACGCGTTGCCAGGGTCAAAAAATCTGCCTTCAGGCCTTCAGAATCGACAGTGCGGGCGCCTGCAGCTTAAATGAATGCCAATGAAACCGTCGCTTTTCTGTTAATTATTAAAGGGATAGTTTACCAAAAAATGACAAGTCACCATTTACTCATCCTGATGTCATTTAAAATTCATAAGACTTAATATGAGACACAATATGAGATTGGCTTGTTAATTCTGATTTGTTTTGTGGGGAAACAAAGACAGTTTGAATCAATCTACAGTATATTGGCTCTTTATATCAATTAACTCCAAAAAAAAAGACATGTTGAACGGGCGCACTTTATCCTTTATTGTTAGGAAAGCAAGATGGAGACAAGAAAGACAAAACAGCAGCAGATGACAAGGTAAAATGCCGCTGTACTAAAGGACAGGAGCAAAGGTTGCATGGACTGGTTTGTCAACTTTATGCAGCATTTTCATAGTTTCTAGTTCCAGCCCTGTCCAGAATATTGAATATTATTATGTTTGTGTATATGCGTGTGCCCTTCAGATTGTCCTGTTATATGGTGTTTGTTGGGTAGTTTTAGTCTTCAATAGCGGTGCTTGTTAAAGCATGTATCACTAATACTATTGGTCATATGATGGGTTAAGGATTTGAACACACTCCTAGTACTAAACTATAGTGCACAACTCATACTTCAACATTTGTGCTATGGGCATGATCTGTAACTCAAAATGTGTGGCTTGTTGAGGAGAGCTGTGGTTTTCTTTTCTAAAAGACTAAAAATCCTAATAACCCTAGCCATATCTAGAGACCAGAATTTCATAGAGACTTAAAGGAATAATTTACCCCAAAATGAAATGTCTGTCAACATCATGTTGTTCCAAACCCACTTGACTTAATATTTGTAATGAAACCTGAGAGGCTTTGAAAATCCAGGTAAGCAAAACCTACCAGATCCAAAAAGGTTATAAAGGAATTGTAAAACAAATCCATATGGATCGAGCAGTTTAATCAAAGTCTTGTAAAGAGATATGAGCACTTAATATGATGCATAGATTTTTATTTGCATCTAAACAAAGAATGGCACACATAGGACATCACATATGGTAATCACAGAAGATTGTTCCTCACTCAACAAACCTCTTCGTTCTTGTTCGTAAGCTTCTATGTTTACCAAATGCAATTTGTGTGTCAATCATTGAAATAAGGCAGACTGATAGAGAACATAGAAAATATATCTCAAACCGTTTAGTGTCTCTAATAGATCCTTTTGATGTCTAAAATCCTGTATTTTGCGATAAAACACTGGAATATTATTATAAAACTTTCTCTGTCACATGGCCATCATGTCCTGGAGGAAACTGAGAAGCTTGGGACCAACACCACCTAGTGGTCAAAGACTTGATTACGTTGGCCTGTTTTCATGGTCTAAATCTGAGCGGAGACAAATTATGCACATTTTCACTGAACAGTTTAAGTGGAGTTGAATTTTTTTCCACACTGTTATTAGTGTGACAACCATGTCATAACCAGGCTTCTGTTGACCACAATGCAGAGAAATAATAATACAGGACTGTTGTAATTGGATATGTCTTTAATGTTTCCCGCATCATTAATTAAAACAGCTAAATACATATTTTGATAGGTCAGTTACGTTTGACAGCATTATGTAAAAACAGTAGACGCTCATCTCACTACAGATGTCAAAAAATACTTGACCGATTTCCTGAAACCTAATTTTTTGGTTCCATTGGGTGAAAAAATTCAATAAAATTCTTTTAACTGCAACTGCAAGAGACTTTGTGGGACATGTGCTCTGGCATGTAGTGCACACACTTCAACAGGTTACAACCGAATCTGAATCTGGTTCCTGATCTCACCATCACTTCTCTGCCGCTGTCCATGAAAGATGCAGATAAATCCCTGTGTTTGATTCGCAGAACAAGAAGCAGCAGCAGACGTTCAGTCAGTCTCACTATTATATGGCTCTGTATCGCTTCAAAGCCATTGAGAAAGATGACCTAGACTTCCAGTGAGTCTATTCACATATTTATTAATATTTCAATTTAGTCATAGCCTTCATGCATTGTCAAAACCATCATAAATGCTTCATTAATTGGTTTAATTTCTAAACCTGATCAGGTGTGTTGTGTGTGTGTGTGTGTGTGTTTCAGTCCAGGAGATCGCATCACAGTGCTGGATGACTCTAATGAGGAGTGGTGGAGGGTGAGTTCACTGTGCTGGATTTCTATCAGAAGTTAAGGTTAGTACAGGAGTGCATGAGTGAGTCAGGAGTGAAGATTTTCTCTTCCATACATTTAATGCAGGGCTGGGCAACTTTGGTCCTCAAGATCCACTTTCCTGCAGAGTTCAACTCCATCCATGATCCCAATCACCCGCCTGTAGCTTTCTAGCTATCCTGAAGACCTTGATGATCTCGTTCCGGTGGGTTTGATTGGAGTTGGAGCTGAACTCTGCAGGAAAATGGAGTTGCCCAGCACTGGTGTTATGACTGGGAGAAGTCTAAGCAGAAGTCTCCTCAACACAAAGTAGCACAATATTTTTAAAGCCTTTTTAAAGAAACATGCAGTGCTAGAACATTATTGGTTCATATTATTATTACTAAGGTTTCAAATTCATCTCCTGTGATCACTTTTGTTCGATTTCGTTCAGACCCTCCCCTTTTAATTTCTTCTCACACTACATACTTTTAGCTGGAATGCAAAGTGTCTCACACAAATATTATTGAATGGATAAAACCATGTTACGCAGTTTACAAGAGACCGGGAACGAATAAAGGAGACCCCGGTCTTTTCACGCACATGGAGTGCACATTATTATTATTATTTGTATTAAGTAAACAAAGCAATACAGATAAGGACGAACACAAAAAAACATAATTCTGTTTTGTATAATTAGATTATGTATGTAATTAATAGGGCTGGGGGAATTAACGCATTAATCTTTGCAATTAATTAGCTGACTCAGTTGTGTTTGATTAGGGTTGGAACTAAACTCTGCAGTACATTTGGGTCTCTATGAGCAGGGCTTCAGACCTAGGCTTTAAAGTGAACACTAGGCCACTCGTTTTTGAACTGTGTCTATGTGTGTCTCAAAGGGTAAGATTGGTGAGAAGACAGGCTACTTGCCCATGAACTACATCATCAGGGTACGAGCAGGCGAGAGGGTATATAAAGTGAAACGCTCCTTCGTGGGAAACCGAGAGATGAGCCAGATTACCCTGAAGAAAGATCAGGTCAGTGTGTGTGTGTGTGTGGTGAAGACTGAAGAGGGATGAGTGAATGTCATGTGGATCACTATTATTTATGAAGTGTTGGGGAGAGTTAGCGCACCCAGCTGCTTTCTGTTGAGGTCTTACTGCAAACAGCTTCTCAAATAGCGAGCTAAACCTGAGAAATGGCAAATGTGTTTTACGCTCCCCTCCCCTGAATAATTCAACTGGAATACCTCTGTATGTCCCTTATTATACTCTAAAAATCTGGTCTGCCTAGTTAATGTTTGTACTTAAACATAAAGGAACCGAATCAAAATGTATTTAAGAGGCAGTTTATTGACTGATCACCGATTGATTTTCCGGATTTATAACTGTGTTCTGCTTTGTAGATCGTGGTGAAGAAAGGAGAAGAGGTGAATGGATATCTGAAAGTGAGCACTGGCCGTAAACTGGGCTTCTTCCCTGCTGACCTACTACTGGAGCTCTGAATGATGGAGATTCATTCATGAAGAAAATATGTGAAGCTCAAGAATGGACAGAGAAATAATGAGACAGAAGGAGAGATATGACTAAATCTGACCTCACTGGCTTGTGAACAAGGTCTAAAGTTAACTTTTACCAAGCACTATATATGAATAAAAATATTTGCTGAGAAAATAAAAACAAAGTTTCTCATTAGTTGGCCAGTCATTTTATTAGGAACTGCAAAAATAAGTTTATATTGTCTAAAACTCTTTGTGGTAACATATACATTACCTACATTAAAAACAGGTGTAACACAACCAAATCAAAGAGAAACCATAGCAACAAACTGAAAACTAGGCCAAATAACTAAAACACAGTAATCCCAGACAATCCCTTATATATATATATATATATATTTTTTTTTTTTACACACCAGTTAAATGAAAACAGAAAGCAAAGTGGGAACATGTGACAAAGTTAAAGAATTTTTTTTAACACATTTCAATACATAACTTATTGCAGCAGTATACAAGCTTACAAAAATGTCTTTTTGATATGTTTTAAGATGTTATGGCCCAGAAAACTTTTTGTAGTCTTTTAAAGATGTAAAAATGTAATCTTTTGTTGTGTTTGTGGGTAGGATTTTATAATTGACTACTCTTTTCAAAGAGGAAGTCAGAACCATTGAAGTGACGAGTAAACAAGATGGATGTCAAGTACTTTGTTTATTAACTCCTGACAGAAACCACAAATTGAGGACGAGGATTAGGCATTTTTCCACTATCGTTGGTCATTAAGTTGGCTGTTGCTAACGTGCCTTCCCGAGTTTTTTCCTGCCTTGCCATGGTTAGCCTGCTATGCCGCTCAGCACATGGCTGCTGATCATTGAAATTTACCCATAAGTTAATGAAAAGCAACTTTGTGACACAAGCTAACATAGCGTTTACAGAAGGCATGGCGTTCAGCTACTGTCAAGTCACAGACAGAATTCTGGTAATGTGGGACACTTTCTGATAATTTACCTTCTGCATAATTTTATGATCCAAATGTCTTAGCGCTTCATATGATAATATTCTAAACAGCTTACTATTCTAAAGAGCTCTATTATTCTATACAGAATAAAAAAGAAATAAACATTAAACACAGGATGGATGACTCTTCCTTAAACACACATTGACCCCAAAGGTGAGCTAATCCATCCTTTTCCCTCGAAATTAATGGGCGGTGGGTCTTTTCTTTCGATGCAAAAAAGATTTACTTCCACCTGGCCAAAAATGCTCCATATAATGCGGACCATCTCGTTGTCCGTTCTGGGACAGAATATCTGTTCTCGTGTTCATGGAGCAAATGTATTGCTCTTGCTGAGTGGAGATTGGGAACCCTGCATGAGCCACACTCGTGGCGTGACATTTTGTAACAAACATTGCTAAATCTCCTTTCGCCGGAAAGCCGTAGGGCAGAAGTTGACGTGGAAATTCTTTTTAGACTTTTATCGATAATTGGAATGACAGCTGGAGATCTCAAAAGGCGGTAACACTTTAGAATACGGTTCCTTCGTTAATGAATAACTACACAGGAACAAATGAGTAACACAATATTAACAATCTAGTAACTACTAATCTAGTATTGGATGAAGATGCCGTGTGAAGAAAGTGGAAAGGTGCATGGCCTCAGAGAAAATATAAAGTTAATCTAAAGGCAAAGTCTTTCATTTCTGTGAGTATTTCGGAAAGTCTGTCTTGGAATGCTTTAAATATATTGCAATGAAAAAAAAACATTTTGGCTGCTTGTTCAAATTGCTTCAAATGATCTTAAGCAACACAATTACTACATTTTGTCCAAACTTAATTTGATTGTGTTCAATCTGCTTAAATATGTAAAATTAGAGTTTACTTAATCCGTTTGTGTTGGATTACATGAATGATTTGTGTTGCATTAACTTAAACTGGGCGGTGCTTGTTAGTTCCCAGCATGCTTTGCATATAGCTGAATTAAGAGAGAATAAATGTTGAAATTAAGTGTTATTTTATGTGTTTTTGAGAAAATGAGGAAAGGGGAAGACTTAATAGTGTGTAATTGTGTTTAATGTTCAATTACATTGCAATTATTAGAACCATTTAAATTACAGTGGGTTACCATTGTGGAGAAGAGTGGAGCATTTGGTTACGTTGTGGACTGATTAATAATATATAACTCTTGTTGCTGAAAGAGCATATACATCTTAGCATTTAATGTTAATTAGTGCTATTATATGCTAATGGAAAGCTACAGTATAGAATTTCAATTGAGAAATTATGTAAATCCTACATACTTTTATTTGTCAGTGAAGATTTATATAAACTAAAGCATGTTCACTAAACTTAACCGGTTTAAGTTACAGGGAAGCAATTCCATTGATTTGTTTGGACTCATTCAGTTGTGTTGTCACAACACAAGGAGCTTACATAGATTCAAAAAATCCCAATAATGTTAATAAAACGCAATTTGCTTGTGTGGAACCACTGTCCATAATTAAATTAAGTAAGTTTAAAGAGTAATTTTTTTGAGTGTAACACTTGAGTCATTACTAGTTAGTTACCATGATTCTTACAGTAGTTCTCTGGGAATCATTAAAAAAAAAGTAGTTATTGATTAGTTAATAGTGAACTACCACTTTCATCTGTGCGCTGTTACTTACTAATTTGTTAATCAGAATTTCTTGTTAGTTAATAGTTACTAGATTGTTAATATTGTGTTACTCATTTGTTCCTGTGTAGTTATTCATTAATGAAGGAACCATATTCTAAAGTGTTACCCTCAAAAGTTATAAGTTTAAGCTTGTATTTCTTGCAAGAAAGGAAGTTCACACACAGACAGAGTCTGACATGAGAAGGGCGATGACTTCCTTTTTCTTTCGGTTCATATACACCAAAACTTCACACTTATTCTAACACCTCTTGGTTGTACGCACACACTTACACACATATGTCCACTGCAACACATTTTCTCTTAGTGCAAGCGAGCTTATCCGTTTCAGAGAGAAACAAATCGTTCAGAAAAAAAATTGTTCTTCTGCGAATGTTCTTCTCAACTCGTCTTCAGCAAATAAGGAAGACGATGCTATGCTGCTTGCAGTTTCTTTTAACACCATATATGGTATAAGCTGGTTAGATAAGAGACTGATGTAATGCGACTCCATAAGCCTTAGAGACTGATGTAATGCGAAAGAAACTTATCGAAAGGGAGCCACATTTTTCCAGGCCCTATTGGTAAACTGGGACACCTTAAACACATTTAAATGTTATTCAAGTGTAGGCCTAATGAATTAAATACACAATAACAATATAAACAACAACAATAATAATAAACATCACTTTTTAATGAGGGGTGCAGGTACAGCAGAATAAAAAAAAAAAAACGTTTACACATCCTATAACAAAATATATAACAACCATTTTTTTTATAACCTTAACATTGTGGTTCCCTCCACAATTACAACACTTTATTGTAACATTACTCCCACATTCTCCATATGCATGTTCTCCTCCACATCTACCACATCTCTGTTTCCCTTTACATACATTTGCAGTATGTCCATACGGCTGACATTTATAACATCTTAATGGAGGAGGTACATATTCTCTGACGTTAAAGCTCATGTATCCTACCATCACTTTCATAGGAAGTACATCATCTTTATGTGGCCTTTTGGGAGTAATAACCCAAAATAGTATACCCCAAATATAGTCTAACTACACCACTCCCATTTGTTGGACTGGGATGGGAGACCCAACTAGTACCACCGAATAAAGATGTACCCCACGCTAATGATATTCAAATGAATGAACCACTTGAAGGCTGATATACAAAAGCAATATAACATTATTTATTTGTAAACTTCAGTCAGAATGGTTAAAATATTTCTTTGTATAAAAAAAACAAAACAAACAAACATTAATGACAGCAATACATCAGAGGCACCTACATGAATTCTCATAGGCAAATATTTAGATGGCAAACTATACTAAACGAGGTTAGGCGGACCACAGTGCTCAATGTTAACAGGGATCCACATTTAATTCACCTTAAGTACAAGGCTCCAACAGGGTTCAACACACCAAAAACAGCAACAAAGGTTCTACTACATCAACCATAAAGTGTTTTGTTAGTACACACCGATTCTAATCACACCACACGAGTGGTCGCCTTAATACATTGAGCATTGAGCCCTGCCCACTAACTATGAGAACATAAGCAATGCCCGCTTCAGTCTGAGAACGAGTAAAGTGCCAAAAAGCGCTGCTATGATCAGCTATACCGGAAGCTATCCAAATTTCACATACCACTGGGACTTCCCCACCCCAATCTTTGCTATTGCACACTGCCCAAATACAACAATTTGTCTCAATGGTAAAACATCAATAATCAGAAGAACAAGACCTTAATCATAGAAGTGCACAGGCATTATATAAATTAATGATAAGAGCATACAAAAGTTACATGAGAAAACAGTGGCTGGATGTCCAAACAAAGTACACAAACTGCAAAGACCTAGAAAGACAAAAACACACTTATTTATTTATCCCCATGACCCCCACCCATGCACCCCACTGATGATACATTGAAAGCACTTGTAAACCTTTGAACACCCACGAGAGACGGTGTTCCTTCACAAAAGGCTCCTAATGACCCTGTGGGCACTGAAGCACAAGCCAGCACACGGATGAAGGGACGCACAGGACCTGGTATAATGACGGGCTACACATAAAACAAACATGAGTCTTTGCAAGGCCAAAGTCTAACAATTAATTGGATATCGGACTAACAGATACCTACTTTGGGCTAAAACCGCCCGCTCCAGCACACGGTAGCAATTATGCAAACACCCTGTAACACCAGCACAGTCTGTTGAAAACCATGGGATATAAATATACTCGGCGCGTAAAGCAGGGGACCGTCTCAATGCCTTGTTGACAATACGTACCTGGACACGAGAGAGAGAGAGAGAGAGAGAGAGAGAGAGAGAGAGAGAGAGAGAGAGAGAGAGAGAGAGAGAGAGAGAGAGAGAGAGAGAGAGAGAGAGAGAGAGAGAGAGA